AATCAAATTACAAAAAATCACTCAGAAAAACAATGATGCATAAATAATATACGAACGAAAGTATTAATATCGAACGTAATAAGGATCCAATAATTCATGACAAGCAAAACATTGACTTCCCTAAACATTTTCCTTACAATCATCATTTACGAAAAAATTATGAATGAAGGAAGGAAATCGGTTTTCATTTCAATATCTCCAACCCTTATTAATAACGAGGGGAAACGTCAAATATTTCAAATATTGAGATCCCATAGAACGAGGGTCTTGTTGATGAAACTGGAAGAAAAATAGAGGTCGAACTGATGGTAATGTGGAATTGTTGATGTAGTTTGAAGACTGATTGAGGTTCTAGACTCAAGAATATTACCGTATCTTTGAGACTCAAGAACAGAATGATTTTTACAATAGTCTAAGACATAGAGCTATTGTTCTACGACATAGAACTATTGTTTTTTTATGGAATAGGAGACAAACGACCCGACGGGTCACCTAATAGTAAGCGATCAGCGCTGCCCATGGACACCCGCAACACCAGAGTACTACATCGTAGATAATCGTCCAACGCGACTTATTTCTTCGCGCCAGTAAACCTCGATTGATTAGGCTGAATTTGTAATTAGAACAACTTTTCTAATATTGTTTGTTATAATATATTAACAAGAAATTCTGAAAATTCTGGGTATCTTTTGTACCCATTCCTATCTTCTGGAAAACTTTGTAATCGCTACTTTATATACACTCTACAAACGAACCACCCAAACTTATAAGGATTAGATAACTACCAGGTCAAACAAATATCTGTACAATAAGAAACTAAGTCAACAATAAGTACGTTAGCAGCAAAACACCGTCGGAACTTCAGAAAATGATTACGTACACACAATTATAACGAAATTTTCCCGACGCAAACATGTTAATTTTCTCGCTTAGCTACATATTTTGTTGATTGTACGTAAAATAAAGCTTTCATAATTACATTACAATATTTAATGAGTTACAAACCAAAGCTGTAGGTTAACAAGCTGCTTAAGTATCTAATTTAGTTCAAAAGTCGTAGGAAGTATATGGTACGCGGAAGCCGGAAATTATGTTTACTTAGTTGGGTATGGTAAAGTGGTTATATAGTGTTGCTGTTGAATGCGAGATTCTTACTTTGGTCTATGGATAACTAAGCCGGTAAACGATCAATGGTGTAGTTGCCAGTGTATGACAAATTAAAAATGTAATTAGTCCGTAAGTTACATAATGAAAAAATATAAGATACGTATTTTTTAATTATTTATATGTATGTATATGATACGTATTTTTTTATTATTTTATTAAATACTATTGGCGTCGTCCATGGACACATGAAACACTAGAGGCGTTACCAGTGCGTTACCGGCTTTTTGGGGATTAGGAGTTTGAGGATTATTGGTGATTCAGGGATTAGGGAGGTCGGGGAAGAAGGGGGGGGGGGTAATTCCTCCGGCTCCGGTAACCTCACTCACATGACGACCACACAAGCGTTGTTTCACGTCGGTTTTCTGTGAGGCCGTGGTATCAAGCAAGGCTCTCCCGCACTTAAAACTTTCTAATACAAAATTGGCAATAGACGGAAGTTTTTTTTATTTATCACATCCCTGTAAAATACCTACCTATAAAAAAACAAAAACCAAATGATTGCAAAAATCTCTTATAATTATTGTCGGTTTCTTGAAAGTCGAGATTTTCAATCAATACTTCAGAACAGACTTTATACAGACAAATCCAAGATAAAAAGCTAGTTTGTAATATGAGTGGGATTCTGTGGGATGAGTTACATAGATACAATATTCCAAAGGTTAAAAGTCGTCTCATGTTAAATTAGTCATTATTTCTGGTATGCTATTCTATGATTTACATAAATACCTCGTGAATATGTATGTGTGTGTAGCACAGTAATTACTAGTATATGAGTATTAGTATTATTTTTTTATACCTTGACAATGGCAAAGAAGCACACGGCCCACCTGATGGTAAGTGGTTACCGAGGAGAGGAATATGGATGCTTGCAACACTTGGGGCATATTTTTTTTTTTTATTTATTTTCAGGTTATGCGGTATGTTCCGGTAAATACGTAGACGGGTCACTTGATGGTAAGCAATCGATGGCTAAGGACACTTAAAACACCAGAAGCATTACAAGTGCGTTATCGGCCTTTTGGGAATTTGAGGATTGTGGGGATTCGGGGATTGGGAACACTGTGGATGGGTAATTGGACCTCCGGTTACATCATTTACACGACGAAAAATAACGCAACCGTTGTTTCACGTCGCGTTTCTGTGAGGCTGTCGTATTGCTTCGGTCGAGCCTGGCCATTCGTACCGAAGCATGGCTCTCTCACACTAGGACATTACATGCGCCTTGCCGACGCTTAAAAAACGTACTTGAAGAACCACATATTATATATTGTATCCATTATTATTAACTGTGTAGTGGAAAGATATTCAGTATTTATTTGGACTAATAGCACTTTAATATGCTTTGAGCGCGTATCAAAATTTCAAACTCACATTAAATTTAATTTCGGTATATTTCTTGCATTTAGCATTTGTATTAAATGTTATGTATATCTATATACATAAATATAATTGGAGTGTCTATTTGTAATATTAAAATAACATGCACACGAATATACATACGATAAACATACCAAAAATAACATTTTTATAATTTTTGTCTGTTTGTCTATCTATCTGTCTGTTTGTAGGTATAGGCTAATCTCTGGAATGGCTGGACTGATTTTTATAAGACTTTTATTGGCAGGTAGCTAATGTACTAATGAGTAATATAGGCTTCTTTTATTTAAAAAAAAGGAAAATTGAAACTCAAAATATTTTCGTTCTAAAATTCATCTACGCGGACGAAGTCGCGGGCATATAACAGCTAATTTACAAATAAGCCTCTAAAATCGAAATTCCAAATTACTCATATCGGATATTTTTTTCAGATTTCAGTGTTATATGATTATTACCGACCCCAAGCACCGAATTAATTTATCAACTCCAACACTTCGATAGAAATATTTAGTTCTATTTATTGCTTTCAAGAACCTTAGAAGTAAATTGTGAAACTTAATAAAAACACCAAGACATTCCTTACGAGTATAAACAAACACCGTTTAAAGTCATTTCAAAGTTACAAAGTTAATTTATCTTTTCTGAAGTTGCAAGTGCCATATTAACTGTACACGCGGGAGAAACTAGGTATACCGCACATCAATCTATACTTATCCAGTATAAGCTGACCGTCGAATATGCGAAATGGTTATACAAAATAAGACCATGATAAACTGGTTATGTGGAGCTCGATGTGAAATCCTTCACTGGTAACACTTTTCTTATTTTAAACTTTATGAACACTTGAGACAAACCAGTCTCCCCCTATATTATTTTAAAAGATTCCTGGCTATGTCAAGTGGGTATTTAAAGTTGTAATTCTTTTAACACATCTCTTGAAGCCGCTTGGGTCGGTGTTTTGTTACATTTCTATTTAGGTGAAGTGGTTTTCAAGATATAAAATAAGTGATAAAGATTTTTAATTTTTTGGAACAAAATTAAACATCGTCATCAGCTCGTTCCGTCTGCTACTGGACATATTTAAAAACTCTATCTAACTTGATACTTGGCGTTTAGAAAAATGTAATAATTCCAAATTCAAATTCAAGTCACTTTTAATGCATATAATAATATAGTGTGTACAGGGTGGTTTACAATTTTTGACAAAATATGTTCCAACTATAGGCCTTTTTGGGCACCGCAAATACTCTACTTACAAAATAATATAAATCATGAATATTATTTAATTAACACAATAATTTCGTTATTTCAAAATCTTATACATCTATTGTTAAAAATTTGTTTACAGTTACAGTAACAAAGTTCCAGTGTTTCGTATACATGATTGATTGACACAGAATGTTATACGTGCCTAATGTAAAAGAAAAAATATCATTACTCCAAAGTACTTATAACATCGTCTCATTCTTTTCACTGAGCTGTTTGATCTTTAGTTTGAAAAGTAGGCAAAGGTAAGTAGTAAATTACAGAAGCTACATTATTCTACGTATGTTCACAATATGTAACTGATGTAACATGTAACATCTATTAAACATAACATTTCAAGGGCATCTCTACACCAGCCAGCTTCATATTCTTACCGAGTTATTTTTCAGTCAGTAAATAAATATAATGGGTATTTTATTTACTTAAACCAAGGTCACATAGAGCAATAAGAATAAATTTTATGACTAGTATGAGGTTTTACTCTAGACGAGTAAAACGTCGGCCGTACTAAGACTCATTTAATGGTTACTTAACACTTACAGGGCTGATGCCGATCGGAGTCCCTCCTGCCTCACCCAGGCGAGAGTGGTCATTCGATGATTTTCCCCCCTTAAAAAAAATACAAAATTGAAGTGCAACGGTTAATGTGAAACTGAGGCAGGAATTTATTACTACATTTTATCATTTACGTGTCCGAATCAACACTCAAAACAGTCCACAATACGATTGGCCCGAAGCATCCACTTAATCTCCCTCAGCTAAAGTTGTTAATTTAACCCAACTTGTTTTACATAACTCCTCCCACTTGCTGAAGCACCCTGAAGGCTGACGCTGTAACAGCCCCTTTATAGTTTCAAACCAAGCTTAGCCTTTCAGAATTAGCTCAAATTAGTGAACCAAATGACCAGACCGAGAACTGCCGGACAGAAACTACAGAACCCGCGTTTTCCTAGTGTTGACAGAATACTGTCTACCACAACGTCAACGTACACGAAGCTTAGAATTTTCTCAAAGAATCCATTACTGATTTTACTAACTTCAGTTTTAACTTTAGTAGTTATAAGCGAGCAATGTATTGTGTGTGGTGCGATCATCTCTCGAGTAAGTGATTACGCGGCTCTTGAGATGTTTCGTGGTACACGCAGAAATGGAGCTACACTACGTTGAAGCCAGTACGGCGGCAACGCTGCGAGTGTTGACACGTGCTGTAGTGCCACGACGCTCCGCTCTGCGATGTTTTTCGCGCCGATTTCGAATTACTATTGTGTATGCCAAATGTTCCTTTAATGTGTTTTAGTTGAACGTTGAATTATTTGGAGTTGTGTGATAAGTGGTTCAGTGAAGTTTTGTTATAAAATAAAACATATAAACTGAGAACTAGTGTATACTTAGCAATAAATATTGCTAGAGATTTTCCTTGATTGTTAGGTAAGTGAAAAATTGATAAGCATTTACAATATGACATCGCAATGTCGTACATACTTAGGTACATATTTAATGCCAAAGCGTAAATCTTTAAAAACATAAATAAAAATCACTGCAATATACAATTTGATAAGATAAAGAACAGGGAAGACACCACCCATTACTGACTGATGACATTGAAATTAAATATTTATGAAGCCATAAAAATCATTAACTCAAAAATCTTTCATCTCGAGTTAGAAGTGCTATAAAATTCGAGAGCACCTATAAACGTTGGCTTATCTATGTTACATTTTAAACTCATAAAAACGTATGTATTTTGGTGAAAACATCTTCGTGGAAGGTTATGCATGAGCAAGATGTTCCCATAAACGTAACGCGTCATTAATGCTTGCCTCAAATTAATTTCATGCTCCTTGTAACTCGGGACAGATGCGTGAATATTTCTAATACCAACAAAAACTGGTCGCTTAATAAAAACAGTTGATTTTCGTTTATAATCGTGCACAATTCGAGACGGCCTTGTACGTCTATTGCCCGAATACTGAAACGTTTGTTAAATATTTAACGGCTGCTTAAATCATTGAGCAGCCCTCAAATTCTAGTTTGGTATACTCAAACGTCTGTTATCTTTTTAAAGGTCTGTTAAGTTTAAGTCGTGCTCAAAAGTCCACTTAAATGAAAAAACCGTATACTGAAACGATACTTATTTTAAGTATGTGTCAATATATTGTCAAAAGTCCACTCAAATGTAAGAGTGGTCTGAAGGCCTCCTAAATGCTTTGAGCGTGGTAGAAATTATAATTTACGTATAAAGTCGTGTGTTTAAAATGTCTCTATCAACGCTATTTTCTCTTTTGGCTGATGTAAGTCATCCAACACGACACAATGAACTGAAATTGAACGCATTTGAACAACTATCAAATGGGAATATTTATATATATTTTATTCCGCTGAAGAACTGAATGAACGAAGCACGGAGTATCCTCAGGAGTTGTTGACTCGGCGGCTCCCGCGGCCGCGGTCGAGCAAAAAATATATCGAGTTTGGTTAGAGTGGTTTATTGCGTATCGTGTGTGTTTTGTGTCGCATCTCTGCTGCATGAGCGCATATCTGCGCGCGGGAGGTCGGTGTTGCATACTACATGCATCATACATGCCATTATTTGAACAATAATTATAGTGATGTGGAATTTCGTGTAAACTTCTGTAATTCCAAAGAAAGAGTTTAGTGCTTGAACTCGGTATTAGAGGACGATGTTCAGAGTCTCTCTGAAGTATGGGATCCGTAACGAGGTAATCCGATAGAAAACTGAAGTTATCATCGTAGCACAAAGGATTATCAAGCTGAAATGGCAGTAATGATCATTTGGGGTAGACGTGTACTGAAGTGGAGAACGCGTCTAGACAGACGTACATAGTGTGGGGCGGTGGAGAGAATTTAACTACTAATAGAAAAATACAGTATCAGTTGTTTCAACTGCCTGCCTGAATTAAATAAATGATAATAATGCTGCGATTGGATGCCTAGAGTTAAAAATTGACCTCAGTGGCGTGCCATTACCTCTAGAGAGGCACAGGATATCCAGCAGTGGACGAGAACAGACTGATGATGAAGATTGCACAACCCATAGGTCTGGATAGCAATCAAAACTTTGTATACCTATTTGTATTAGGACTATGCTAATAAATGGACATTTTCAATCATAGTAAAATAGTTTTATTATTATAACTATAACAGTATAGGCGGCGACGGGGTATGCTGCCATGTTCTGGACAGCTACATCATGATTATAGTGCTGACACATAGAATCCCAAGCATCTTTCTTTTTTTTTCATATGGGCGTTGGTCTCTTTATTCTCTGTAATATCATTATGCCTGCAAAAATAGCAAGAAGCATATAAATTAACAATAGATCAGATCAGTTCTATGTACCTATACGTATTAAGTTTCATTACATACTTACTTCTTGATCAGCCCTAAAAGGATATCCTTTTCGGTAGTCGTATATAATTGGACCCACGATTCTTTTTTTCTTCCATAATAACATTAAAATTGTAGTATGCTATCTGAAGCCGGAGAAAATTCGTGTTTCATTAAATGCCAATAACGTCTGTATGTCAATTGACTTACAACGTTTCACTACACGACAATCTAGTCGTAATTATTTATTTTTCATTTTAATATTATAATTGTGTGTAGATACTTAAATTGTTATTTTTATTATGATATTATATGTTAATAAAATTAGTAATAGAATATAATAAAATTCATTACAGTGAAATTTATAAAATTTTGGTATATTTTAGTACATAAATTATCATCGAATTAGCTATTTAATCAAATCATGCTGCATGAAACGAATACGTAAAAAAACACAATTTATTTTGTAATCGAGAATATGCTTAGGAAATGCATATTATAGAATGTTGCCATAAAGCAAACATTTAACGGCTGCTTACCTGAGTAGACCAGAAATAAATTGATGGACGTTTCAGTATACCAGTTATATTTGAGGCGTGCTCAAATTTAAGTTGCGATTAATTGAGAGCTGTATTTGACAGACGTGACAGACGTTCGAGTGTCAAACGCTTAGAAGTATCTCGTGCATATAATTTGCTTTGAAAAATTATAAATTAGTGTGAAATGTGTTTATCGTCGTTATCCTCTCTTTCCGATAATGAAAGTCGTCCAATACCGACCCAATGGAGTAAAATTAAATGCATTCGAACTATATGATGGTGTGGAATTCCGTGCACGCTTTCGTGTTTCCAAAGAGACAGTTTGAATTCAGCATTTGGAAGCAGCATCAAACCTTTCACATGTGAAACCGAGCGCTGCAGCCAATAGACCAAATCCTGATAGCTAAAGATTTTAGGCGACAAGCAGTTACCAACGGAGCGTAATAGGAGACATTTTTCATGTAGAACAACCAACTGTTCACCGGGTTGTGCACAAGGTAACGGCCAAAATTGCGAGCATGAAATCTTTATTCATTAATATGCCAACTTCTGAAGAATTTGTGGACATTGCAAACGGATTTTATGCAATTGCAGGATTTCCCACAGTAAGTGAGGCTGTTGACTGGACCAGACCTGTTGCACCCATATTAATTAAAAGCCAAATAGCAACAAGAAATCCAGTAGAGAGTGGAAGTAATTTTGAAGGGTTTCGATAACATTGTCAAAGAAAATTGTAAATTTTGGGAATTTGTTTTTGTATTTACACATTTTTAGGAGGAGGATTAGGAGTTAGTTTTAATTTATTTGAAGGTCTCTTTTTATTTTTTAATTTTATTTTTAGTATAGTTTCTATAGATATTTGTGACTTATGTAAGCTATTAAAAATGAATAAATTGTAAAAATAAAGAATTGAAAAACAAATCATAATAAAATAGTTTTATTATTACAACTCTTTTTATACACAACGTTGCTCCACACTAGGACTTTTTACCGTGTCGTGGGTGCGTTTACAAACATACAATTACACATACACATGACACCCAGACCCACAAAAAGTGTTTGAAAGGTTCCCCTCGGTTTCCATGGATTCCATCATCAGATCCTGACCTGGTAGAAATAAGACCAACCTGAGAGTATGACCTTACTAACAAAAAAAGGATCATCATAATCTGTCCACAAACGCCGAGTAATCGGGTAAAAAGCACACAAAAAAATCATACAACCGAATTGATAACCTCCTCCTTTTAGGGAAGTCAGTTTAAAATGAAGTCGGTCATTATTTTTTAAACTAGCTGTTCCTCGCGACTTCGTCTCAAACTATCGTTGCGTCGTTGTACCGAATTCCACTCAAATAATTTCAATGGTTTAAAAAATAGAGTGACCCAGAAGATTAACGCAGTTCCTGTCCTGTGGGATTTCCGGGATAGAACAAGCATACGTTCTTTCCAGTGCCAATGTCTCACTCTCGTTGAACCGAATTACAATCAAATAGGTTAATAATATTAGTATTCAGCCTCTTTGCATACCTTAATGTTATATCGTGGCAATAAAAAAATAAAAAAAATAAATTGTCAATCATCCATTGCCATGAAACTTACTTGTCAAAAATATGTCAGATAATATAGAAATGTGTACTTAATATTATAAATTTGTGTCTGTTTGTTTGTTAGAAATTGGCGTGATTTTTTTATTGAGTGTAGATAACAGGGGGTCGAGGTTTGTGTGGAGAATTTCATAATTTTCAAGAAACCTAAAATGGTATTACATTTGTGACCAGTAAAACATCGGGCACCAAATATATTTTATCTTTTATAATCCTGCTCTCAATACTTTAAAAGAGCGCAAGCGAAACCACGGGCAGAAGCTAGTCCATAAATAAATTAATGTATTTAGTTAATTCAATTTATACTTTTTCCTTAAAATTCTTGATTCAGATGCAGCTAAATACTATTATTAGTCCTTGAAAACAGTTTTTATTGGTAGTCAAAGGCTTAAGCAATATTCTTCCGAATCCTTTTTTAAGATTTTAATTGTGCCGTGTTCTAATGCTGCTTACTGCTACAGCATTATATTGCTGGCACACAGCATCCCAAGCATCTCTGTTTTTTCGTATTATATGGGCGCTGGTCGTTTTGTTTTCAATAATATCTGCAAATATAGCAATAAGCCATCAGCAATAGATCAGATTACCGTTATATTATATAAGTATTAAGTTTCATTGTATACTTACTTCTTGATCAGCTCTAAAAGAATATATTTTTCGGCGGTCGTATAATTGAATCCACATTTCAGTTTTTTCTTCCATAGTTATCAAATAAAATTAAAATTTTAGTAACGCATATAATTGAAATATCGCGCTTTGATTCGTTGTTGTCAATAATGTCAATTGACTTAAACGTTTCACTACACGACAATCTAGTCGTATAATGTTCCATTTTCATATTATAATTGTGTGTAGGTAGGTACTTAAAAATATTTTTGTTATGATATACATTAAAAAAAATGAACAAGACTGTGAATTCATAAAATTTTAGTACATAA